GTGATTTCTTGAGCACCTGCTTAAAGCTAACCCTAACAAAACTGTCACAAGTTGATTCTGGCTGTCAGTTCGCATCAAAATGTTGTTCTAGCCTATATTCAGTCTTATTTTTGATTAAATATTGCAATAATCAATTCTTAAAAGACCCAAACATGAACATTTCTAACTGTCTGTGATTTCTCACTAATGACATCTTCACAACATTTTGCCCGCTGGTCGCTGAAATCGCATTAACCAAAACCCATGCAAGCAAAAGAGCTGTAATTCAGTCCAGTGATGCAATGGCCTCTTTTGCTTGCTTATGTCAACACAGACCGATACTCTTGTTAAGCTACAGATGTGGTTTCCCTGGAAACAGAGGCATACCACCAGAAAGAATAAGTCTCTGACAAAGCCCTGAACACTGGACCCTGTGCTGCGAGTGGCCTATTCATTCCCTGACACTTCTTACAGCTGGACATCATGAATAGACAACTGGAACCAGAGGAAGGCAGCTGATATGTTGAGGTAAGAAGAATGTATGTATATTAATATAGTATGCATTAAGAAATAACTGTGCTGATGTAATGACATTACATCATACTACACTTGTGTCCAAAGCACAAACTTTGCACAAGACTCAATTCAAAACTACTGACAAATGTAATAAAGGGTTTGTTTGTTGACATTTAACGTTGACTATTTTCAAGCACTTCCGGTATGTTCCTACTTGACACCACTGCTGGATTTCAGAAGGGCAATTATTACGTCAATTTTATTGAATAATAAAGCAAATAAACTTTTAAATATGAATAAGTCGGACATTGTTAAAAGTTATGAAATGTGTGAATAATTTGAACACAGTGTGGCTTTAGCATTAGGTCTATCTACGTGATAACATTATTGTGGATCGCGGTTGATAAACAGTGATATTTTCAGCCTAAATACCGCATTTGTTCCTCTTTTTATGTAAGAAGGTTAACAAAATAATATATTTATTGAAATGCATATGTAAACACATCAGCTAACACTGGACAGCGCTTGACAAGTTAGCTTTGCATCACTCCGAGCAGCACAAATCACTCAAACTTCCATATCTACCGCATAAAATCGCTTTAAATAGGCTTTACACACGTCTTTACTATTTTCCTCCCATGTTTCTGTGATCAGACCAGGAACTGTTTAAGATTAAAGCTCTAGATCAGTAAAGCTCAGCTCAGACTCTATGTAAAGGTGTGATCAGCTACAGGAGCTCTCCTAGGCCTCCAATATCATGGAATCTGGACTGAACTACACTGCATTTAAGCTCTGATGCACTATCAACCGCCTCGCATGCCCCAGGTGCCGCTCACCTCTCTGTTGAGGCTCGGGATGGTGCTCGGGTCTCCGTATGCGGTGCCGCTGGAGGGTGTTGGCGGAGCTCCGGCCTTCCCTGCGCCGCCGCCGCCCCGCTTATTCTTCCTGCGCTTCGCTCCGCGTTTAGCGTCTGTAGGACTCATTTCTACCCCACGGAATACACAGACAGCGTTCCGTCTACAAACAGCGGGGTCTCGGGTGCAATGCCAGGCTCTGGCGCTGCGAATACAGGTAAAATTTAACTGTATTTGAGAGATATAATCTAAGATTCTGCCGACTTGTTCACAGTATAGCAGACTTCAAATTCCAATATGGCCGACTCAACAGGAATTGGCCAATAGCGTTTACGCCATGACGCAATAGCGTATGATGCACTTGGGGCTTATGGGAAAATTAGTTTTATTTTTGAGTTTTATTTTTTAATTATTACTCCTTGGTTAGATGTTGTGTCTGTGTCGGTGCTGGAAGATTGTTAACGACAATCCAATTCTTAATTTCTGCATGCGAGCATAAATGGATAATGAAGCTCTTTGTTATTCTATTTATTCTGGTGTCTTGCTCTATTTTAAGTTCTCTCTCATCCCACTTATTTAAGTCTCTTACAAGTGTGTTGTTTTTCTGGTCAATGTTTTTTTGTTGCTGTTGTTGTTTTCTTGCTAATAATTTAAAATTACCGTTGCTCTCCGAGGCCATGTTTTTAATCGCAGTAATAATTTTAGTCATTAGGTGGCGCTGATTAGCTGTTCTAACTTGCGTTGACGTAAAATAGCAGGCGAAATATCCAGTTTAGAGGTCAATATATGGGTCATTATTATACAATATTTGACAGCTCATTCTAATCAGTATCCCGTATTCCATATTATATATATATTAATTATAAAATGAATGTGGTGTCTGCTACAGATTGTTTAACTGAATCTGCCCTCACCTGTGAGTCAAATTTCACCCATCAAAACCATGAAAAATTCATGAAATCTTCATTGCAGTGCAGCGGGTCTAAAGACTCAAAATCTTGTCCATTTTATTTTATTTTTATCTCTTCATGAAGTCTATTACGATAACAGTGTTAGAAAATATATAGTGCTATTAAATTAAATATGAATTAAAAAATAAAATGTCAAAATGTTTGTGGTTAATATTAATAACGTTTGGCCTTTTCATAATATCCGGACACATAACAACTTATTCTGCTATAAATGAATGCTTTACAGCTTAAAGCTGCTATTTAATGCAGGGCCATCACTAAAATAAAATAAAATAAACGGGTGGGCCACCTCTCACACTAAACTGAAAAGTAGGTATGTGACCGGAACTGTCAGTATGGACCCACTTTAGATGTCTCTTGCAACAAATTAATTCCTCCCTATTATGCAATACAATTTCTTGCAGTAACTGCTGTTCAAATGTGTTGTTAGTTGTCATTTTTGTTTTTGCCTTTAGTCCCATTTACAGAGAACAGGTATGTGTGAAGGCCTAAATCAGGGGTCTCTAAACTCGGTCCTGGAGGGCCGGTGTCCTGTAGAGTTTAGCTCCATTCCTAATTAAACACACCTGAACCAGCAAATTAAGGTCTTGCTAGGCACAGAAACTTCCAGGCCCGAGGCGAGGACAGAGTTTGGAGACTCCTGGCCTAAATCTTAGTCAATGTAAAATATTTAGACTGAAAAAAAGGTATACAAATGTAAGACCATAACTAGTAAAGACCATACATGATAATAAATAAATAAATTGTGGCAGTTTGAACCTTTTAATCTCTTAATTTGATGTAGTGTCGTCCTTCAACCAACAGATGGCGACTGTTGCATTGCGGCAGTTTTATCGCTAGACAGAAATCAAAACGTTGAACTATTTGGTTGTTTAGTAGAAGGTTTGCTGTAATCATATATCATGATAAGGACAAGACAAGGATAACAACAGCAAGATAATTTTATTGCATTACTTTGATTACGTGATGACAAAGAACACTAACAGAAAATGACATCTATGAAATAGCCTTCCAGAGATGATACTGAATATTGCCATATTTCTCAAAACCTCCAATGCACGTCAAAAAAGTAGTGCCTTCCAGAGATGATACTGAATATTGCCATATTTCTCAAAACCTCCAATGCACGTCAAAAAAGTAGTGCCTTCCAGAGATGATACTGAATATTGCCATATTTCTCAAAACCTCCAATGCACGTCAAAAAAGTAGTGCCTTCCAGAGATGATACTGAATATTGCCATATTTCTCAAAACCTCCAATGCACGTCAAAAAAGTAGTGCCTTCCAGAGATGATACTGAATATTGCCATATTTCTCAAAACCTCCAATGCACGTCAAAAAAGTAGTGCCTTCCAGAGATGATACTGAATATTGCCATATTTCTCAAAACCTCCAATGCACGTCAAAAAAAGCAGTGCATCATGTCATATACCTTTAAGCTCAATCACTCCCTGCAGGCTGACAGTTTCAGGAAATCAGTGCCATGGAGAGCAAAGAGATAACAAGTACAGCAGTAGCCGAGTTCATGAAACAATAGATGACAAATCCAAGACTTTAGATTGCAATCTAATACTTTTGCAACAGAGAAATCAAAATATCATGCATGACTCTTGATCGAAAATGTCAAACTATTCTAAAATACAATTTCACATTTTGTCTAATCTGTACAAATAAATTAGCAAAAGAACAAAACTATTAACAATCCCTACAGATGTCTTGCTTTGCTGGCTCAAATGAAGGCAACTCTAAACTACTGCAAAATGACCCGTAGTGCTAGGCCTCTTAAGAAAGTGCACACCAACAAATGCGAATTGCTTTCTTGTGTTTCTTCAGCAGAGTCAAAGAGTAAAGCAGTCTATTTTCAAACATACACTCAAACCAGTTTCAAAGTCTTTTTCCTGTAGCATACTTAGATCCACCCTAAAAAGAGCTGTTCACGTCAGTAAATACAAAAGCAGAGCGGATCTTTCATATCCAAAGCACCTATATACAATCAATCACACATTACGTTTTCAAACCCACTCTGGGTGCTGGAATCGGAAGCCAAGCTGGAAGAAGAAGAAAGCATGGAGACATGCGGACGACCACTATACAGACAGTTCTGAATGTACTATGTTAAAGGCTGGATTACACTAAATGACTTTTAAAAACAGAACAGGTTTTACAACACTAGGTGTCATACACTTGTTGACTTTGTAAATAGTTACAGAGAAAAACTAGACAGCATGTAATAAAAGACTGAGGATCACATAGGGTTACCAAGTCCACTGTTTTCCAGCGGAACTGCTGTTGCTGCAGGTTAAAGGGATACTTCACCCAAAAATGAAAGTTCTGTCATCAATTACTTACTAACCCTCAAGTGTCCTTCTTCTGTTGCACATAAAAGAAGATATTGTCACATAAAAGAAGATATTGTGAATAATGTGGGTAACAAAACAGTTGCTGGTCCCCACTGACTTCCATAGTACGGAAAAAAATATAATATGGAAGTCAGTGGGGACCAGAGACTCTACCCACATTCTTCAAAATATCTTCTTACATTTAACTGAAATGCTTATATTGAAATATTTTAAGTTTTTCTGAGGAAGAGGAACTATAGGGAACATTTGAGTTCCTACATGAAAACATATTCTTTATAATTATATAAATGACTTTCAAGTTGAAATTGTGTATATCGCAGAACAGTAACTGTAAAAAATTTATTTTAGGCATATTTTAAGTTTTGATATTTGGGATAGGGTTATTGGGCTAGTTTTGGCCCATTTTTGATTAATCACTGGTATAGTTTTGTTTCGCAGACCTGGCAACTCTGCTTTCAAGCCTTTCCAAATACAAGAAACTCACTCAGAACACTCAGAACAAACTCACCTCATTGCAAGGAGACACACAAATATATGTGTTCTATAATCGTGTCAAATATCAACGTTTGATATTCTCTTAACTGGTGGAATCATAATCTGTAACTAAAGACATTGTAGTCTGTGCTGCTCAACATACACAATTTTTTTTTGTGAAATCTGCAGACTGGCTCTTACTTTGGACAATGTACTCGTCCAGACTGTACAAATCGGGGCAAAAGTCATGTAGTGTATTCTAGCCTTTTAGCTAGTTTGAAGTTTCAAAGATTCGCATAGTTGCTATATATGTATTTATGCATTTATATTTGAAATTGTCTCCATATTGTTTCCCTAAGTAGTATTATTCTTTCTTCTGCAGGCCCTTGCTGACCTCAGCCTCAGCACTGCATTCTGGGAAGTGGGGAGGTTGGGCAGAGTGAGGGGAGGGCAGAGGTGCTGATGGTGCATTGGGGGTTGTTGAGGCTAAAGGCTCAATGGGAGCAGCACTCCTAGAGTCCTCCGATTGGACAGATGAGCGTCCCCTATGGGAGCATCGTCTCTCTGGGTGGGTGGAGGAAGGGCTCTTTCCTGGAGGAGGGGGGCTGCGGTCCTGACGCCGGCGAGAAAGCTGGATGGTTTCCTTATCTAGAGCTGTGTTCTACAGGAGAGAGACAATATGTTAATGTTCACATGATGTGCACCCACCCAAAAATGGAAAGGAAACTGAAAACAATTCAGTAGGGAAAGAGTAAGTGAGATGAAGTTATGATCTGGGAGGAAGATAGAGAGGGATCATTTCAATCTTAAAGAGACAGTGCACCCAAAAATAAAAATTCTGTCATCATTTATTCATCTTGTTCCAAAATTTTATGACTAAATTTCTTCTGTGGAACACAAAAAATATATATATATTTTTTGGTCCACAAGACAAGGTGACTTTCACTGGACAAAAACAGTTAATGGGGAGTTATGCTATGCGAATGCATATATATGTTGAATTATGTTTTTTTTTTAAAGAAAGTGACGTCATATCATGACTGTTGCAGAAATTTCACGTGGTCAAAATGTAGTGTGACCTTGGCTTTAAAGGGTCATTTTTCATTTGCGTTTGCAACTTTGCAACAATTTTGCATATTTGTAGGATGAAAACAATTTGTGCAGTTAAGTTACATTTTTGTTTTTTAAAATAGATATTTAATTGAGCTTTCAATTAAATTTCATGTGTAACAAAGTCTATTCCCACTTTTTTTTTCTTTTTTTTTTTTCCAAAAATGTTCCCACTTTTTTAAATTACTTAAGTAGTAATTCTACTTTCTGAGTGTAAAGGTTATTGCAGGTGATGGTTGTTCTGAGGGGTGCATGGTGAGTTCTTATTAATTTTCAGAAATGTTGCTAAATCTCTGCTTTATTTCTGCGTTGTCACACTTTATTACAGTCTGGGTCTTATGCTGATAACTTACAGATTTGAGATATTAATCTAAAATATGTGTATTAATCTAAATATAGCCTTTTAATATTTCCAAAATGTCCCACAATCTTGATAAACTACCATGATGGCAGCTCCCATTTTAGAAAAATCTGGATTCATACTATGTAAATTGTCTCTGGTATTACTGTCTCCTTTGGCAGAAATAGTGGTGACACCACATATATAAGTAGTTAGCATCTGTGCAATAGCATCAGTATTTGCATTTGACTAAAATTAATAATAATAAAAAAAAAACACATTCTGCCTCTCGTTTGACACTCTAATGCAGTGGTTCCCAATCCTGGTCCTGGAGAACCCCCAACACTGCACATTTTAGATGTCTCCCTATTCAAACACACCTGATTCAACTCATCAGCTCATTAGTGAAGACTCCAAGACCTCAAATGTGAGTGTCAGATAAGAGAGACACCAAAAACGTGCAGTGTTGGGGGTTCTCCAGGACCAGGATTGGGAACCACTGCTCTAACTGAATAATGTCATCTTTTGTGTTCTGCAGAAGAAAGAAAGGCGCAGGAACAACATGAGGGTAAGTAAATGATGACAGAATTTTCACTTTTGCGTATCCCTTTAAGAAATAAAGCAAGCTGTTCTGTGTTTTTCCCCGTTTCTGTAAGAAGAAACATGTTCAAACTAAGATATAGAAGACAATATACATGACCTGGTTTCACTGAAAAGTCAATACTATCGATCACATCACAGGTGGGAGAAGACCACCGCAGTAAAAGAAGATGGCAGAGAGTGAAAAACACCACTGAAGTTCATGATGGGATGAAAGCGAGTCAAGAATTCTCTAAGCTGCCAACTGTCCATGTCTTGTAGGGGAAAATGATCATCTTCAGTGATGTTACTGTCACTTTCTCCCAGTATAAAAGTGTATGTGTGAGGAGACAGAGGCGGGGAGGGAGGAGCATAGCAGTTAGTGTTAGTACATACCATTGCCTTGGGGCTAGTCAAAGGATAGCAATGCCATGGGGAGAGCAGAAGCAGAGGACAGAGACTAGTCTTACTCACTGAGCACATACAGCACAAATTCATACACAACACTAACATAACCTCTAACACTTCAGCTGAGAGACATTTCACAAGGACTATTTCAGAAACACTCAGCTTGCTTGATTGAAGCAAAAATATAGCCACTTAAAGGGGCAGTTCATTCAGAAATGAACATTCTGACATTATTCACCCTCATATGCTTCCAGACACACATGATGCTGTTTTTCTTATCCAAACAAGCTGTCAAGTTCCAAAAAGAACAAAAAGCAATATAAATGCATGTAAATATAGTCCGTACCTCTCTTCTGAAGCATTTGATTACTTTTTGCGTCTATGCTGCAAGTTTGATGTAATGACTTGTACTTACAAGACAGGAGAACCAATGTCATTTGTTATTATTGACGTCAAATACATGCCATAGGAACCATATTTAATTTGAGAGCTGATTATCAGTGCATCAACTTTAGTCTGGTCATTACAAAGCTATCATTTCAGAACACATGGAATATAGCAAATTAGTCATATAGATTTTTTTTGGGGGGGGGGGGGGGGAAAACCCAGACAGCCAACA